TCTATCGTCCTTGTCTCTCTTCATTCTTTCCCATCAAACATATCTATCATCCTTGTCTCTCTTAATTATTTCTCATCAAACATCTATCGTCCTTGTCTCTCTTCCATCCTTGTCTCTCTTCCTTCTTTCCCATCAAACATATCTACCGACCTGGTCTCTCTTATTTATTTCCCATCAAACATATCTATCCTCCTTGTCTCTCTTCCTTCTTTCCCATCAAACATATCTATCATCCTTGTCTCTCTTCCTTCTTTCCCATCAAACATATATATCATCCTTGTCTCTCTTCCTTCTTTCCCATCAAACATATCTATCATCCTTGTCTCTCTTCCTTCTTTCCCATCACACATATCTATCATCCTTGTCTCTCTTCCTTCTTTCCCATCAAACATCTACCAACCTGGTCTCTCTTAATTATTTCCCGTCAAACAAAATATCGTCCTAGTCTCTCTTCATTCTTGTGTGTGTTACTCTCCTGTAACACCTCTAATCTTCAGCACGCATATTATGACTTTGTGCTCCATGTTGTATCAAACACACAAAAAAAATCTTTTTAAAAATAATTGAGCTGTCCCGTTCCTAAAAAGGGAATTCCAAGAACAATGTGTGTTACCCCTCAGAAATATCACTTGTAATATTCATATTACCGACTGTATTTTTTTTTTAAGTTTGTATTTCCCCAATCCCATTGTTTCCGTTCTAGGATCGGACTGCCCTTTTGGGCTTAGAAGAAATCGATAAAACGTTTCGTCAGGTAGTGTATTGAAATCGAGCGCTCGTCAAAATAATTAAATTTAAAAAAAAAACACCAAAAAAAAACAACTGGTTTGGCATTTTTCATCGAATCTGGGGATTTGGATTCAAAACTGTTTATCTCCATTTAAGAGCACATTCCTATGCGGATTGTACAGAAAAAAATTGATTAATACCGCAAAAAATGTATATTTTTCGTTTCCATTGATTCTTAAACTATGGAAGTCACCAACCTTTGGCGGTCTTTTTCACGCTAATTTTACCTCTGAAACCAGGTGAATCCCTCTTCCTTCAATCGAAAATATCTCGACATATATACACAACAAATTAGGGTTTTTAAAAAATCAAAAGCAAGACAAATGAACAAACTTGAAGATGACATCATTAACTCCACATGCCCCAAAATTGACGAGCGCCTGATTCCATCGCGTCGTAACACATTTATTCGTTAAGTAGATTTGTTGTCGTGGAAAATGGAGGACGTGGCCAGAAAAGGCGCTCACATGACCTTATGAACTTGCGAGCGCCGTAAAACCTCTACTGTGAGAGGTTGGCGGGTGCTCTGGTGTGGTTTGCTTCTTCTTTCCTCTCAAACATCTACCGAACTTATCTCCCCTTCTTCCTTTTTATGTGTGTTACTCTCTTGTTACACCTCTAATCTTCTGGCGCTCACATGACCTTATGCAGTTGCGAGCGCCGTAAAACTTCTATTAAAACCAAACTAAAACCTCTGTAAAACAACATTCATTTAAGTGGCAAGAAACAGACACGTGTGGGCTTCACTGCTCCCTGTCTTACGTATCTGACGGTATAGGGTGAGACTGTAAGGAAGCTAATCGTTACCTTAGATATACAAATTACAATTCTATCTTACATTTTTGGCCTTTTTTAAAGACCCTACAGATAGAGGGAACAGACGAAATCAAAAAACAAAACAAAACAAGTTGCTTTCTCTCTCTCTCTCTCTCTCTCTCTCTCTCTCTCTCTCTCT